CTGCTCGAGCATTCAGGGAATCCATATCTTGTTTTATTTCTTCCATTGTGTCTTTCATCTCTAATATTTCTGATTGATTCTTATTTTTTCAATCTCTTGTGAAGTAGCTCCTGAACTCATTCAATTGTTTCTCTACATTCTCTTTTAACTCATTGAGTTTTTTGATGATAGCTATTTTGAATTGTTTGTCATTTACATTACATATTTCTGTGTCCTCAGGACTGAGTTCTGGGTACTTGTCATTTTCTCTCTGGTCTGGAAATGTCATGTAATGTTTGATACTGCTGTGGGGAGTGGCTCTGTTTTTTGCATCCTGATGTTATTTGGCTGCAGTTACCGCCTATTGCCACTGGGTGGGGGTCAAGAGCTGCGTATTCTGAGCCCTCTGCCTTCAGCTGAGATCCCAGGTGCTGGAGCTACTGGGTGTGTTGGGGGGAGGGATGCTTTCTCCTGCGTGCTCTCAGGGTTTTCTAGTTCTGCCCTCGCTCTCTGCTCTCCTGGGGTGTTGGCTTGATAAGGTCAACCCCTGCCCCTCTAGGCTGCAAGGGCCCACCGGGGATCCTTGATGTTCCCACAAATGAATGTTTCCCTCCCAAATTCCTTCCCTCACGGATCCTCCCGCGGTCCCAGATTGCAGTCTTTAGGGGAGGGAGCAAAATTTTCTCTTACCCCGTTCCACCTCTTCTGAGGGGCCCCAGCCTCTCTGCCCTCTGTTATAATATGGCTGCATGGGTCCCTCCAATGTTTTTTGTGTTGTGTTTGGATGTCCTCTGTTGGAGTATGAATGTCCTTTTCGTTGTATGTTGGAGGGGAGAGATTATTGGGGAAGCTCACTCCACCATGATGCTGACATCACTCCAAATATTTTTTAATTTTGATGTTCAATTTATTGACTTTTTTCTTTTATAGGTTGTACTCTTGTGTCCTTTTTAAGAAATCTTTGTCAAACCAGAAGTCACTAAGATAGTCTTCTGTTTTCTCTTGGAAGTTTTATAGGTTTAGTTTTTATAGCTAGTTCTGTGACCCATTTTTAGTTAATTTTTATATATAGTGTAAGATGAGGGTTGATGTACTTTCTTTGCATATGGATATCCAATTGTTCCTGCCCCATTGTGTGGAAAAGATTAATCTTTGCCCCACTGAATTACCTCGGCACCTTCGTTGAAAATAAATAGGCATATATGTTTGGGTCTGTTTGTAGACTCTCTTTTCTGTTCTCTTTATGACTAGCTTTAGGGTAACACCACAATCCTTTGAGTACTGTAGCTTTCAAGAAAGTCTTGCAATCTGGTGGGTTAGGTGTTCCAGCTTTATTCTTCTTTTCAAAATAGTTTTGGATATTGTAGGTCCTTTGTGCACACAAATTGTAGAATCAGTTTTTTAGCTTCTACGAAACAGCCCGCTGGGGTTTTGGTTGACTTTGTGTTGAATCTGCAGCCCATGTGGAAGGAGTCACCCTGCTGACAGTATTGAGTCTTCTGGCCCATGAGTGTGATATATTTCTCTCTTTATGTAGCTCTTTAATTTTTCTCAGCAATGTTTTGCAGTTTTCAATGTATAGGTCTTACACATATTTTGCAAAATTTATCCCTAAGGATTTCATATTTTTTGATGCTGCTATAAATGGCAATTTCCAATTGTTTGTCGCTAGCCTATAAAAATCAAATAGAATTTTGTATTTTGGAATTGTATTGTGCAATCTTGCTAAACTCATTCTTAGTTTTAGTAAATCTTGTAGATTCTTTTGGACGTTTCTACATAGACAATCTTGTTGTCTCGCAAATATAGTTTTACTCCCTCCTTTATGATCTGTATGCCTTGATTTATTTGTCTTGCCTTATTGGACTGCCTGGGCCTCCCAGTGCTGTGCTGAACAAACATTCTTGCCTTGCTCTCAGTCTTGGGGGAAAGCAGCTACAATTTCACCGTTAAGTAGGACGTTAAATGTAGTTTTTCTCAAATGCCCTTTATCAATAAGATTGAGGAAGTTCCTTTCTACAGTTTTTTCTGCATCTTTTTCTGAGATGCTTTTTCTGCATCTACTGAGATAATCATATAGTTTTTCCCCTTTTTTTGTTAATATGGTGAATTACATTAATTAACTTTGAGATGTTAAGTTAACCTTGTACTTGGTCATACTGTATTTCCTTTTTATGTATTACTGGATTCTATGTCCTAATATTTCATTAAGGATTATTGCACCTATTAGAAGAAATATGGATCTATTGTTTTCTTGTATTGTCTTTGTCTGGTTTTGGTATTCGGGTAATGCTAGCCTTAAAAAATGAATTGAGAACTGTTCCCTCTTCGTCTGTTTTCTTGAAGAGTTTATATTAAATTGATATTGTATCTTCCTTATATGTTGGTAGAATTCACCAGTGAAGTTATCTGGGCCTGAAGTTTTCTTTGAAGGCAGGTTTTTAACAACAAATGTAGGTAACTCAGGTGATCTGTTACTTGTTGAGTGATCTTCACTAATTTGTATCTTTCAAGGAGTTTGTCCGTTTCATCTAAGTTGTCAAATTTATTGGCATATTTATATATTCCCTTATCCTTTTAATGTCTTAGAATTTATAGAATTTATAAGAATTTATGGAGTAATCTTCTTACTGATATTAATAATCTTTTTCTGATCATTCTGGCTGCATGTTTGCAAATTTTATTAACTTTTCAAAGAAGCAACTTTTGATTTTGTTGGGGCTTTTTCCTTTTTTTAATTTTATCAACTCTAATCTTTGTTATTTCCTTTCTTCTCTTTGCTTTCCTTTGTTCTTTTTCTAATTTCTTAAGGTGGAAGCTTAGACCATTAATTGGAGACCATTTTCTTCCCTCCTAATGTAAGCATTCAATGCTTTTGAGTTTCCCGTTAAGCATTGCTTCAGCTGCATCCCTCAGAGTTTGATATGAGGTTATTTTCATTCAGTCCAAAAGACTTTCTAATTTCCCTGTTTTCTTCTTTGACCATGTGTTATTAGAAACATATTAATTTCCTAATATTTGGGGATTTTTTTTCAGATATTTTATTGGTTTCTAAGTTAATTGAAGTCAGAGAACATCCTTTGTATTTTTTTTAATTTGCTGAGACTTGTTTAATGCTCTGGAATTTGTCTATTTGATGTTTCATGTGTGCTCACAAAGCATGTGTGTGTGCAGCTGTTGAGCGGTGTCTTCTGTAATGTAAGTTAGATCAAGTTGGCTGATAATGTTGATCCAGCCTTCTACATACTAACTGATTTTCTGTCTACTTGTTTTATCAGTCATTAAGACAGGGCTGTTAAAATGTCCAACTAAAACTGTGAATTTGTCTGTTTTTTTGCAGTCTAGTCAGTTTTTGTTTCATGTATTTTGAAGCTCTTTTATTTAGATGCACACACATTTAAGATTATGTCCTTGTGATGAATCAACCCCTTTGTTATGAAATGTACCTTGCTTTGAAATCTACTTTGATATCAGCTTTATTTTGATTAGTGTTTACATGGCATTTTTTTCCATCTTTTTATTTTTAACTTATATGTGTTTATATTTAAAGCTGATTTCTCGTAACCACGTATAGCTTGATATTGCTTTTTTATCCATATAACTATCTGCCTTTTAACTGGAGTACTTAGACCATTTACGTGTAATCTGATTATTGATATGGTCAGGTTTAAGTTGAATCTTCTGTCTTGCTACTTGCTTTATGTTTGTGTTATCTGCTCTTTCTCTTTTTTTCCTCCCCTCCTCCTTTTGGGTTAATTGCGTATTTTAACAGTTCTATTTTCTCTCCATTATTGGCTTCTCAGCTATACCTTTTTTTTTTTTTTTTGTCATTGCTCTAAGATTAACAAATGCATCTTTTACTTTCATGGTTTACCTTCAAATATTATACCTCTTATATCACTTTATGTCTAAGAACCTTAAAACAGAGTATTTCATTTCACCCTCTTCTGTGCTATTTTCGTCATACATTTTACTTCTATGTATATTGTAAACCCCAGAATAAAGTTGTTATTATTTTGCCTAAAACAGTCAATTACCTTTTAAAGAGATTTTTTTTAAGGAGGAGAAATTTCCTTTATGTTTACCCATATACTTACTTGTTTAAAATATCAGGTACTTTTTTTTTTTTAATCATTCCGAAGTCAATAAGGAGGATCTAGACGGGTCAGATGCAAGACAAGAAAAGAATAGACCATAAGGTCTATAGCAGCCATCAAGGGCTGGGCCTTCAAGTAGGGGCATGACTTCTCTGCTGTAACAGGAGGAGGGTGAGGAGAGAGTGCAGATGCGAGTAAGTCTATCTTTGGTATCAGGAGAGTGAATTTCCTTTCTAATGGCTTCTGCTTTTTTCTTATAAAATGGGTGAGAGTGAGAGAGAAAATAGAGAAATCAAAAATAGTCATTGCTGAGGGGAGACTAGTGTGCTGATCTGGGCACTGTAGCAGGATGATCAGGCTTTTTGATGGTCCTTTGTTGAGGATGAGTTACTGTAGAACCAATGTACCATGTTATGTGTGACTTTCTCCGTGTCTTTAGCTGCTTGGGTTTGATAAGAACAGAATTGATTATTGGCTTTATCAGAGTTGATATTTTGATCGTGATGAAAAGTCAGAGGGTGAAAGAAGTCTAAGGTAGTGCAAAGAGTGTTAATCGAGTGATGGACTTTGGGCTCTAAGCTGAATGGCTAGGGCACTGTTCCACACTTGTGGCTGGAACAATTGAATAAGCAAACGAGAAGGTGAGGCTGAGATGTTGGTGACTTTGGAGATGGAGTAGTTCTGGGTGATGATAAGGAACAGGGTCTGGCCTTGAGAATGAACGGCTCAGGAAGAGTGAGAAGGAGCTCTCGGGCAGACCAAAGAGGTGGAAGGGTCTGGTTACTAACCTGGGGTGATGGCTGGGCTGGGTGGCCATGACAACTGTCAGCCAGTTGCCAAAGCCTTTGGAGAATAAGGGCAAGTTTGGCAAATCAGCCCCCAACAGGTATTTTCTAAATTGTTACTGTTGTTGATTTTTGATAGGAAGCAGTGACAGCAGTATATACTTTGCTACGAGTGATTTTTCTTCTGAAATCACCCCAAATGGGCAGCAATCTCAGGATTGCTCTCAGAGAAAAGAAACACTTCCCGCTGTAGCTGAAGAGTCCATCTGGAGAATGATAGAGCGAACCCCTGAGTGCGTTCTGATGACATACCAGGTACCGGAAAGGTAGGCGAGCGCCTTAGGAGACCCACTTTTATCTGAGCTTTTTCATGGTTTCTTAAGAATGATTTCTAAATGTTTTTATACATACCCTTAGAGACATGTATTTTCAGATTCATTCATTTGAAGTCAAACAGTGAATGACTTCTGAAGGCACTGGTTATGGTGGTAGTGCCACACAAGCTCAGATCCAGACTAAAGAAACCTTACGCATCACGAGACCGAAAAACAAGGAAAGCAGGGCTTTCAAGATGGCACACGAGTAAAAGAACTTTTCTTATTAGGCTCTGGATTTTTTTCCCATTCTAAAAGAGTGGAAGAACTAAGGGAAATCTGTTTCTTCTGTGTATCTCGTTAAAACACTCTACAGATGTTTTCCACTAAGAAAAAGAGGTCTCGCTTTACCAACTTGACAAAGAAATGACTCAGTTATTTTTTAATGCGTACGTCATATATTAACACGAGATATAAAGTATATTACAAACCAAAAAGAAGTGCTATTCTTAGATGACATAGTAAGAACCCTGTGCCTTATTCAGGACCATTAAGGTTTTATTTGTTTGTTTGTTTTCAGGGTTAAAGAAATTGTACTGAAAGAAGACCTAGCAAAGCTAGAAAGCATGAGGCGACAGCAGCCGCAGTTTTCTCACGGACAGAGGGAGGAGCTGGCCCAGGTGCATTCCTGGGTTCAGAGCCAGACTGTCCCTCAAGACATAGACATCCGGGTAGGCACAGTCATAACAGCTGTCACCTGACAGATGTCATACCAGGTAGTGTGGTAGGCACTCAGTATACGTTGCATCATCCCACTGAAACTTTAATGTTCACAGTTACTTCTGGGGTAGGTGTGATTGTCCCTGCTTTACCAATAAACAGACAACACAGTAAGGTGTACAGATAGGAAGTAGTTTGTATAAGGTTACACAGTTCATCAGATTTTGAATACAGGTGTTTTGACTCCAAGTGTTTTCTTTTTTTCCACCAGTTGGAACGGTTATGGGGCAATAAGGAGTAAAGAGGCCTCCTTTGATCCATGATTGACTGGAAAGGAGAGGCTAAGAGATTCGAATTTCAGATATGCATGGGTATTTGAGAAGAGTTAAAACTCAAAATGTAAGATTCACACCAGGGATAGTGTTCATACTTGGAGCCCAAGAGGCGTTCTTGATGTTGTGAGATCTTCTCGATGAGATCATATGTGAACACCCTGAACACTGCAGCTTTGATTTACCGCTGGTCCCAGTGGGTGGCTCTGTACCGATGGTTCTGACAGTTGTACTAGTAATGAGGTCTGTATTCCCACAAGATGTGGGAGGTGATGTGTGAAGTTAAAAATTACAACAAGAGTACAAATTTAGGTATTTAAAAAAGTGTGATATTAAGACTTATGGAGTAAACAAGTCATTAGAATCCTCCCTACCCCTGTTTTTAAAGAAAAGAATAAATGCCTGACACTTACCAACAGTTAGATGTGGTCTCTCCAAAAAGCAGGAGCTGGGCTGGTTACTTAAGTGTCTTCATTTTTAAAATACTGTTTTTCTGATTTTTGAGTACAAGATTATATGAAGAATGAACCCCAAAACAGTTTAAACAAAAGTATTTGAACAGTTGTTGTCATTTACCTTCTGATAATAAGGAATGAACTAATAATGGATATTCTTAGACATCAGTAAGTTGGGTAAAAAGACACAGATTGCTGGGCCAGCATTTTATTGATCTTGAAACTTTTCGGATGACATTACATCAAATAACCTACCTCCTCTTGTCCTTTTTTGAAGGGCTGTGTCACTTGCACAAACAAGGGGTCACTTGGTGATGCTACAGAATCCTGTGGTCAGGATGCGTCAGAAGACACCAGTTGAGTGACTATGGAGATGGACCTGCAGATGCTTTCCAGGGCCTGCTGGACAGCTAGACTTCTTTGTATATTTCTTTAAACCCCTGACTTTTAAGCGACCATGAAGTTGTCATTGAATGTTAAGGTTTTTCCTTCTTGACTTTTTAATAGACCTCGTTTTTTTGAAGCATATGTCGTATATAAAATCTGCTTCTCTCTTTGTCCACGGTATATTAAAACTGTCATTTAGGCTCTTCTTCTAGTTTAACTGTCTTTTAAAGAGATCAGATGGCCTCTAAAGAGGTATGTGTGTACAGCAAAATGAATTATCACCCAAAATAAATTATATTTAGAAATGTTTGTGAGGAGCCCCAAACCTTAGCCTCCTTTACTATGTTCTGTTGTAGCATAAATCATTTTGCCCGGTAAAGTACCTGAGGAAATCCCACCCACAGGCCATACACTTTTCCTAGTGATTCCATAACTTAGTACTTTCATCTGGTCTTTGCACAGCTGGATGCTGCCCCTCCTTGCTTAAGATCAGACAGTCCAGGTTTCTCACAACACAAGTCACTTTCATATTTACCAATATTAAAATATATTGCCCTTTGGTATACTGGACGCACCTGGTTCTTAGGGTTGAATATGGACCTTCATTATTGTAGATGCCTTTCCCTTTGATTTTCCACCTTCCACTGAAACTCTGAAAGTCTTACCTTAAAAGTCAGTCACCTTGCAATGGGCTCATCCCTTGGACAGTTTAAATGAGCGTTTGCATGTGTAATATTAAAACAAAAGACCATCTAACTCAACCAGCGGTATTTCCCTTTTTAATGTTTTTGTTTTTAAAATAATGATTATAAAAGTTTCAAAAGTCATGTAAAAATTAATATTGTTCTTATATCCATATATGTTTAAATGTTGTCTTGCCAAAACTAGCATTTAACTTTTTCTTTCCAACCAATTTACATGAAAGAGGCCTCTTCGTCCCTGCCAGAGGGCTGACGGGCACGGCCTCTGTCTGCCCCTGAGCAGGGTGAGTGGTGAGGGCTGCGCAGTGAGAAGAGGGTCCTGGGAGCTCTGCAGCCCTAGCCCAGGGGCAGGGTCTGCCCAGGTCACTGCTTCCAACAAGAGTGAGGAGGTGTTTACTTGAGAAGTCAGCTCCCCTTTCTGTAGAGAAGATTCCTTCTCAAACTGGGAACGACAGACACGGTTCACACTCATGCAGATCAGAAAAAGGAATGGAAGAAAAGGAAGGTTACAGTAACCTTTTATCTTTTATATGACATGCAACAAACTAACTTATTTTTATTTTGTTGTTGTTTTTTTGTTTTGTTTTAGGAAACACTTCCTCCTTGCAAGTTTTATAGCTTTTTATAAAAATGCGTTCTGATAATAATTAAGAGAATCGACATTCTTATCCATGATGACTGTGGGCCCCTGACTCTCAATCCCTGTAGCTTAGATTTCCTTTCTGAAGTAGCAGTTTCCTGGAAAGTGATTCTCTCTGAAGAACCATTTTCTCTCTGAACCATTTTCAGATGCTGCCTATGACATTTCTTGGAATTTTCTAATACTAAGCAGTTCCAGGCACATGTTCCTGTTTTGTGAATGGAGAACTCTCATATTCTCCTCCATCTTGACTGTTCAGTGATTTCTGATGCTTTTCTTGTGTTGGTCAAGTCATGTGGTATTTTTGCTCTTGATGAAAAATCAGATTTTAAAGAACTAACCAGCCTGGATATTGTCCATCAGTGTAATCACTGTGACTATCTGTAGTGATCAAGTTTTTAATTTCTGTAAATCAGAAATGACATACAGCTATCAAAGGGTCATTCTGCATTCCCGTTGGCATATTTTAAGCCTCATATTCTCCAATAATGTTTCTTTTCCATTCTTTCTGGATATTTGTCTTTTCTAAATTTGTTTGTTTCTTTGCCTTAGTACACATCTTATGGAGTGTATGTTATACTAGGCTTGATTTGAAACTGGTGCTTGTTGTAGGCAGGCCTGTAAAGCTGTTTATGACTCTCATGTGTTGGTAAGTAGATCGTTGGTGTGTTTGGAGGTTGGACGCAATGCTCCTGCTGCTGACAGTGACCAGAGGAAGTCAGCAGTGACGCGGCCGCCCCCACGGGGCCCCACCTGATTGTAAACTTCGCTGTTCGAGTTTATTAACTTTTTGTATTAATGACGATAGAAATTGATAATAAAAATGTATATTATTGGCTTCAGTGTTTACATAAATGTTACCCAAAGGCTGTATTTTCTGGGATATGAGGTTAGGATTTATGAAAAACAAAAGCTATATGAATTGAATCATTTTGCAATTAAGTGAAACTTCGTTATAATTCACAAGGTAAATTTAATCCAAATTGAAATTTTGTTTCAACTGAATTTATAATTGTGCGAATTTACTTGTTTTTAATGGTTATTAATATTTTAATCGGGTGTCTTTTTTAAGGAAAAACAATAAATAAGCTGTATATGTAAAACTTGACAAATTTGCCTGCATTGTGTCGACAAACCTTTGCTCTGAATACGTGTTTTCTATCATCTAGACATGTTTGTTAGGATATATTGAAAGGTGCTCAGATTATTACTGGTTTTCTCAGTGGCACCTTGTGTTGCCTTGTCAAATGTGCCCAAGCTCCTCCTGTGTGGAAGATACTGGCATTTTCAAATTCATCATCTTATACTGAATCCTCACTCCAGCACTTTGTGAAGAATTTATTGGGTCCTGAACATATGTACATATTTTCAGTACTAATTTTAATGCCTAATTTGTAAAATTCAGTTATCAAAATTACTCTTTCTGATTCTGTAGAGTGAAGCTGTGTTTCACAAAGTCTGTGTAACTGGCAGCAACAAAGTCTCAAAATTAAATATGGAACAAGATCCTGAAGCCAACAGGGCTTTTACAATGTTACACCTTTCAAACAGTTTGCATCTTTCTATAACAAAACAACAATAACAATACCAAGAAGAAAAAGAAGCTACATGTTTATTGATGGACACAACCCTAGTGCCCCCAAGTTGCTTCATTTAGCGCTCTCGAGAACCCGGGCAGCCAGCATCGCTGTTCTCCTTGTTGTGCAGAGAAGGACGCTGAGGTGGAGGGAGGACTCAGATATGTGCGGTGAGAGCAGGGGTTGGAACGTAACTGACTCGAGAGCCCCGTCTGTGAGAATACTTGGCTACATCGCTAAAACAAGGAAGGGATGTTAGAATTAGACTGCAGCGGCGTTCCACCTTAACCTTCTGGTGTAGGTTCAGGGTGGGGACGTTCTGTGTTAGAGGACTAGTATTGGTTTAATTTCAACAGTGAGAGGTATACGCCACAGTGTTGCCACAGCTGTACTTAGTGTCCGCGTTTCTGAGGTTACGCATCCATTCTTCGAGTTTAAAACGTCTTTCCCTATAGATTTGTTCTTGATGTCTTAAATGAGAGTGAAAGATTGACCAAACGTGTGCTGTGTCGGAGATTTTTGATAGTTGTTGACAAGACACTCCCAGTCATGTGGCTTTTTTATGCAGATCTGAGACTTCAGTCCTCCTAAGTGGTGTTGTGGTTGAAGGCAGAGCTGAGTAGGGAAGCTCAAGTTTCTCAGTAGAAATTCAGCACTCCCTCATGCATGGCTCTGCACCGGAGGGTACACAGAGCTCTCAGGAGTGCACACTATATATCGTATATGTGTGTATATGCTACATTTATATAGGTGTATTAAGAGAATGTGTTAGTATGTACACACACATAAGTGGTTTTTAAAAATTAACAAACCAGGCTATTTCTTTCATTCCACAATCTTAAATCTCACCTCAGATTTCTTCTCAATACAAGAAACAGATTATGAGGGTATTTTTCTGGTATAAATGAACTGTGATCCTTGAGCTCACAGGAACTAAGATGAAACATGTTTCACTGTTAAGAGATTAAAGTTCTTGGGTGTTCAATACTGTGGTCAGCTAAGGGAGGGGATCTGAGCATGTGAGCATGCCCCGTCAGAAACTCAGGAAAATGTAGGATGTTCCAGGCCCTCATCATTAGCCATCCTTCACTTTAGAGATTTTTCCAAGCTAAGATACAGATCTTTTTTTGATGATAGCTATTTTGAATTCATTGTCATTTAGTTTACATATTTCTGTCCTCAGGACTGAGTTCTGGGTACTTGTCGTTTTCTCTCTGGTCTGGAGATTTGACCAAGTGCCTGCTGTTGGAAGGTCGGGTCTTTCTCATTCTCATATTATTCAGTTGCAGTTACAGCCTATCGCCACTGGGTAGGGGTTGAGAGCCACGTATTCTGAGCCCTCCGCCTTCAGCCGAGATGGCCTGGCGAGGCATAGGTCAGGGGAGGGGCGGTTTCTCCTGCATGCCCTCTGGATTTCCTGATCAGCTGTCTCTATCTGGTCTCCTGGGGTCTTGGCTTGATGAGGTCACACCACACGAAAGCTTTCACCCTGTTAGAGGGCTTCCCTTTAGGCTGCAAGAGCGCTAGGCCATCCTTGGTGATCCAATGGATGCATGGCCCCTGCCCCACTCCTTCCCTCATGGAACCTGCCCCCTGCAGCAGGGACCACAGTCTTTAGGGGAGGGAGCAAGGATCTCTCTCACCCCATTCCAGCTCCTCCGAGGGGGGGCTCCAGCCTCTCCGCCCTCCATTGTGTGGCTGTGTATCTTTCCGAGGATTTTTGTGCTGTTAGGGTATTTTCTGTTGGAATATGGTTGCTCCTTTTTGTTGTATGTTGGAGGGGAGAGAGTCCTGGGAAAGTTCACTCCGCCATGATGCTGATGTCACTCTCTAATTTTTTTTTTTAAAGTAACAACGTGTATTGTCATTTTTAAGGATTGAGTGCACATGATAGCTAAGATGATGTAGTTTATTTAAATGATTTATAGTTAAACTATGTTAACTAAATTTTGCTTTTACCACTTTTTCCTCTTAGTATTTGCTTCTGTTCATTTATTGGCTTTACTTTTAAATTTCCAGAGACTTCTTTAAGAATAAATTGATGAAAAGAAAAATTATAGATTTTCAGGATATGTTTATGAGTAAAATAACCACTCATGATATTTGCAAAACATAGAGAATTTATTTTCCAAATAATTATGAGCTGAGCATAGTTTGCCTAGTTTCTCTTCTATGCAGCTTTCAATCAAGCATTTTTATTTTTAATCTCCTAAGATGGTTGCTTTTGAGTTGGCTGGCAGATGTTGCTTTTACTTCAGACACAGTATTTCCAGAAGCATTCAGGGGGTGGTCCACGTTTCTTATGTTGTTTCCTGATTCTGGCCAAAAGATGACTCAGTAAGACGTTAGGATCTTGTCCAGAAAAGGCCTGAAACTAAAACAGTCCACACAAGAAGACAGAGAGGTTACCGATGAAGTAAGAGTCCTACACGGAAAAGGAACTGTAGTCAAGATGTAGAACCTTTACAGAGTGTCCGCTCTTGTTCTCTGGGATGAAGCTGCAGTGAGAGCCCAGGGTGGAGGTGCTGAAGGGCTCCTGTGCCCGACTGGAGGGCCATCCAGTCTGTTTAGCCCTACAATTGCCATGAATTTTCCTAAACCCTCACTGGCCTATTTCTATTTAAATAATCTGTCAGTAACATGTTCTGTACATTTATCATCTTCTGTGTAAAATACGTCTTTTATTTGTCTTGAAGTTCTTTAAGCGTGGACCCTTAGTTTTCTTTCTATTCTAGAATTTCATGAGCAAATCCTACTAATCACCTTTATGATTTTAGAGTCTTTAACTATAATCCTATTCAGAAGAATATAAACATCTGAATGATAACTTTTAACTAGTCACATGCAGAAGCCACACCATCCTCTTCTGGGTGGTTTACCCCACTTGGGACTCTGATGGGGTATGCCGTCTGCAGGATTGAGTGTCTCCAGAGTGTATTTTTGCGAGGATATTAATGGGTACTACACCAAAAAAGACATCAAATGTTTGGGAGAAAAGTCAAAATGTCAAAAAGTCAAAATGTTTGGGAGAAATGCTCAGCTACAAGTTTACCACATGATTTCCTGCAGGCTTTAACGTGCAGTGTACACGAGGAATTGCCAGAACCGGAGAGGGGCTAGAACACAGTGCCACCCCATAGACTGGCTCATGGCACTGGTGTCCCCAGAAACCCCCACAGGAAACACTGCTTTAGAGTCTGGGGGGTTGATAACGCTCGAATACAGATTTTCCTTATAGCATTTAAGGAAATGCTCTGTTACTCGTACACCATGTCTGACCGTTTGAAGTTATCAGTCATCATTCCCCAGCACAGACTTCCCACTGCACCTGCGGTGGTTTTCCACCTGGCCCCCTCTCCACTGCACATACTCCATTTCAATGCTTTAAGCATGTCATTCTTCCACTTGGATGTTATATTGCAGAGCTTTTCCAACAGTAATGTGCGTATGAGTCACTTGAGGATCTTGGTAAAATGCGGTTTTTGATTCAGTAGGTGCTGGGGGGTAGGGTCTGAGCTTCTGCGTTTCTCACAAGCTTCCCAGCAATAGCAGTGCTGCTGGTCCTTGGACCACACACGGAGATGAGGCATGAGCAGCACACGTGGATGACAACCTTTAGAACAGGGAACTCGCCTATTTTTAATTCTCTTAAACTTGTTATAATAATTGATCCAAAACAGGCACCAGATAAGTTCTTATATTATTCACATTTTACATGTATTCACATTTCAAAATTTGGAAAAATTAATGATTTGAAATAACACTGACTGGGCAATGATTTTAAGGTGTGATTTCCACCAAGAACACTCATCTAGGGGCCAGCCCTGGGGCCGAGTGGTTAAGTTTGCGTGCTCCGCTTCGGCGGCCCAGGGATTCACTGGTTCGAATCCTGGGCACGGATGTGGTGCTGCTCATTAGGGCATGTTGAGACAGCATCCCACATACCACAACTAGAAGGACCCACAACTAAAATATACAACTATGCACTGCGGGGATTTGGGGAGAAAAAAACAGAAGGAAAAAAAGAAGATTGGCAACAGTTGTTAGCTCAGGTGCCAATCTTTAAAAAAAACAAAAGAACACTCATCTGGTCCATGACTTTAGGGTCCTCTACAGTCAAGGTTGGAATGTTCCCCTTTTTTAACCTGGCCGTCACACATGGAGTCACTTACCTTTCCCACGCGTCCTTGTGCTTTAACAATGTTGGTACTGGGATCTGCAAAACAATATTTTGCAACCATTCATCATCAGATCTGTTGTTTCTATTCTATGCTTGTTTTATTTAAAACACACAAAATAGAGTGCTCCTAAGTCACGTCTAGTTTCTGGTCCTCCTTTTGCCACACTGCAGCGATATTTATTTGAAGGAAGACAGGCAGCAGCCTCGTTCTTTCTCACCTAGCGAATTCAGAGGGCACTGCCTGTTCCTCAGTCCGTTAGCAGTTCAGTAGTTTATCAAAAATAGAACAAAGGAGCTTCCTATTAAACAATGGCTATTCAAAGGCTCTATTTTTGTTTCCAGAGCGTCCTGAGAATTTGTATTGATGCTTGGAGGAATGCAGTCATGGAAAAACTATTAGAAGCTGACATTTTATTGAATTCTTTGTATACGACTGTGCTGAACATTTTATTTGCATTTTCTTGTTGACTCTTCTCAACCCTTTGAGGTGGGTATGTTTATCATTTCTTTTTACTGTTTAAGAAACTGAGGTACAGAAAGATTAAGTAATTTGCTTAAGGTTTTAATAAGTGGAAAACCAGGATTTAAAATTGCACTTATTAGAAACTGGAATAATACCTTCCTTCCCCACAAAATAAAAGTCCATTAGAAAAAGAATACGTGAGGTGCCAAGTGGAGCACGATGCTCGCAAGGAGGTGCTGAGAACAAGAAAACAGGATCACAGAGGGGGTCTGTGCCAGGAGGGGAGAGTGGTGCCTAGTCAATTTACTTATTTAGCCCATAGTTATATTCCAGAATAGGGTTTTACTTCATCTAATAGATGAGAATAAAGAGCAAATTCCAGGACCCACAACTAAAAATACACAACTATGTACCGGGGGGCTTCGGGGGAAAAATAAAATCTTAAAAAAAAAAAGGAGCAAATTACATACTGATAAAATCAGACACCTATCAACACAAGAATTGTTTTACCTGCTTTCCTGGGGCCGTCACCTCCCTCTGCACCTGACATCTCTGGCAGCACCTGCCTCAGGAACTCTCTTTCCAGTTCATCCAGAGTTGATCTTGCATCTTCACCAGGTGCTACACAGGGTAGTAATGTTAGTAACTCAGTTCAGACTTCAGTTACTTCGGCTCCCTGCTGTCTTCTGGGGGGTACCAGGGACAGGGAGATGATACTAAAAGAACTTGAGATGCTGAGTTTGTGATTTGCCATCAGTGGTATTTTAACAGAGGAGTGGAGATGCTACAGTCCAGTTTGCAAGCCAGCAGACCAGAAAATCAAGAGGAGCGGGTCTGATTCCGACTTTGCTGCCCCTGTGACCTTGCCCAGCTGCTCACTGCCTCGAATAAGAGGACAGAGCTGAGCCCCGGGATCGCTTAAAAAACTTCTCCGTTCCCAAAGTGATTCTTCCTGGTTTCGGTTTCTCTGCCGCTGCCTACTGCCTTTTGCTCTTAGGTATTTGGGTGATAAAATCGGAGTGAGAGGAAAACGAAGGGAGTAGTTTTCTAAAAGACACAATTGTTTACATTCTTCCTATAAAGCAAATAGGATGGCATCACCTCTTATCTCTGGCCTTCAAGATTTAGATGCAATTATCATTAGAAAAGAGTCAACTTTAAAATACTCTTCAAAGAACTTGACAGTAACATTTCCCATGTGAAATTCAGTCAGCTTAATGGCATACAAGATGTATGGAAAGTGTGAGTAAGGTGTGTATGCTAGAGTGTAAGGTGTAAGGAAAGTGCCTGTGAGGTGTGGCAGGTGGAGACGGGCACCGGGATGGCTCTCTCGGCCGGTGCTACTGTGTTTAGATGGGAGCCTCCAGCAGTCCTAACACCAGCGTGCTGAGGACTTACAGATACTTAGCCACACCTTGACCGGAAGACAATGAGAGCACATTCGCAGTATTTCTGAATATTAACGAAAATCTATAAAATTTGGCCGCATGTGAATATTTATGTCATGAAGGATCATATATGGGGAAATAAATGAGAAAAAATTCAGGCAAAAACTAAGGCAAGCTCCATTCTGAGTGGGATGCTGCATTCAATTCATCTAAGTTTTTCTAAATGATAACGATATGGAAGATGACAGTAATATCTAAATATTTGTTCTTGATTTTATATTGTGCTTCTCTCCATTCTTTTTTAAATGGCAGAGATTCAATAAAGTTAATGCCTTAACGTTTTGACCATTAAGATGACTGCCATTTATGAGCTCAGTGGCTCTGGAAGTTGCCGATGGTGAGTGAATGACTACAGAGCTTGACAGTTATCAGAAACCAGAAAATACCAAATCAGTGGCTTAGGAGAGTTTCTTTCTTTATTTTAAAAAAATGTCTAAAAGTACCCAAAATCCACTTAAAATGTTTGTGGAGCCTTAATCCGAGCATCAATCTTTTCAACTTCTTAAACTAAATTAAGAGGCAATAGTAATAGCAAAATAAGTATCTGTTTGACTGATGCACTTCTTAAAAATTCACCCTAGACTCGAACTTAGTGAAACATAAATCAAGGAAAAGATAAAATGTACTTGGAAATCTATGACACTCTAGCTCCAGCTTCTCACTTTTTTATATTTTAATAAGCATTTTTGTTTCATATAACATATGTCAGATGATTACTTTTTAATTTAATATAAGATAATAATTTAAATCTATAATTGGAACAACCAAATTCTACATTCAACCAGTTTATTTAAAATAAGAACTAAAAGTAATGATGTCTTAAATTTAGTGCAGTTTTTAAAATTGAAAAAAGAAAAGCTGACCAAAACCAAAGTTTGAATTATAGAAGTGACATGAAGTAAGCAATGCTACCCTTCTCTTATATTTTAGGAAGAGAAAAACCATACCATGACTGAATCTGAAATGTGCTGTAAGGATCCTCTAGTGTTCTTTTCATAGCTGAGACTCTTAATTTACCAGGATCCTTTAAGCAAGATTTCCCATTCTTATCTCTAACCTTGCATTTAAGACCCTCGAAGATTCTTTCAAGACTAACGTAAAGAAAGAGAGTCACCTCACCGGAGAGCAGCAGGGGCTCTGCCCTGGAGTCCCGGACAGGACGAGATGAGAGAGGATTCAAGAATGCCGTGAGAAGCAGACAGCAGGGGACCAGCTTGTACATGATTAGCAAGAGGCAGAAGTCTCCCTTGGCTTCTGTTCTCCGGAACTGTCAGCTTGCTCCTTCTCATTCTGTAATCAGTGATTATATATATTATCCTGTGACCTCATATCATCCCCTCCAAAAAAATAAATCTCTTGGCTACGGAGGCTAAAAGGCAATCACTTTGCATTGATGTAATTTTTGAAGTAACAACTCATAGATAATAAATTTGCTGTCTAGTGTACAAAATAGGTATTATAAAAAGAAAGAACTGTTAAGTTTATAAATCTGGCAAAAGGAGTAACTCAAAGCAATAAATCATGAGTAAAGAAAGGGTCAGACACGAGTCGAAGTGGCCAAGGCAGAGACGCGGATTGATGAGTCCTCGCGGAAGTGACGCAGAGATTCCATGAAATGGGTTGGTCTCCTTTTTGTAACTTTCAGGAGTGAATAGATGAATTGTCCTGTTGCGTTGTGTTTGGGCTTCCATGCCCAAAGAGTGACAGTGTGTGGATTAAAACTTAAAATCCGTTATTAACTTTAAAATAGTGAAGGTGAGTTAAAATGCACAGCAAATATTCTCAGGCTTACGGAAAGTTCTATACAGGGGCCGGCCCGGTGGCGCAGCGGTTAAGTTCCAACATACCGCTTCAGCGGCCCCGGGTTTCGCGGGCTCGGATCCGGGTGCGGACGTGGCACCAATTGGGACGCCATGCTGTGGTAGGCGTCCCACATATAAAGTAGAGGAAGATGGGCATGGATGTTAGCTCAGGCCCAGTCTTCTTCAGCAAAAAGAGGAGGATTGGCAGCAGATATTAGCTCAGGGCTGATCTTCCTCAAAAAACAAAACAAAAAAATAAAAATAAAAATCGCAACCAGCCCTCCCCAGCGTCGCTGGTCGCTCTTCCCTTGCTCCTTCCAGCACACATTAGGTACGTTAGGGAATCGTGGCACACAGTATGCGCTCAGTAAATGTTCCCTGGCTGGAGCACCAACCCTGTGTCAGACCTCGTTTAGGCTGCAGAGCGGTGAGCGAAAGGTTTGTACTCGTGAACTTTCTAAGTGGAGGAGACAGGCAACAAAATAAGCCTCTGCTGGGATCCTCTTTTGTCGCCGCGAAGAGGACTGGAGCAGAGCGAGCAGGCGGCGCTTCCAGCAGGGCGGGCGGGAGGCCTCCGGGAGGGGCGCGGAGCAGAGACCCCCGGGGAGGACCCGCGGGGAAATCGAGGGGCGGCGGCCGGGGAGGAGGAGGAGCACGACGGGATGGGTCCCCGCCGGGAGTCGGGGCCTCCGCGGGGCGCCGCCTAGGCAGGGTCACGCACCCACGTTCGGTGGGTGGAAGGGGGTCGTCTGACTTCAGACTCATCCACCCGTCCCGCAGACGTCTCGGCACCTGCCATGTGCCAGCGCCGCCAGGTGGGGACACGGCTGTGGACCCAGAGGACAGCAAGTGGCCCTCAAGAACCTGACGGCCGGATTGGGGCCTACAGAAACCGCTTGCGTCCAGCGTAAGAAAATAAAGTGTATTGGACAGACACGGGGTATCTTCCAGAATCCGAGAAACTACAGTAGCAGGAGCCAGAACCCCACTAGGAACTAGACAGAGGAATTCACACCTTACCTCTGACCTCTGACCTCTGCTTTCAGTGACCTGACTCCCTGCTTAGTCCGTCTGACTCTCCCCCCTACTCTCTTGTCTCTGTCTCTGTCTCTCTCTCTCTCTGTTATTCTGTAGTTTCTTGAGAAACTGGTTTTCTTTCCTTTTCCATAAATATTTGGCCAAACACACCCGCCACTGCCGACATTGACCTTTCTTCAGTGTAAGCCATCAGCCCACTTTTACACGTTATTTTTCTTTATCTTTAAATCCAATTAGCAAATTTCTAGGAGAGAGGGTCTGAGTGGCCCAGCTCAGCTGGACTTTGCTTGCTTCCCCTGCGGGAGAGTGTGCCAAGGACAGCTATTTGCAGACGAGACGAGTGTGCCCCAACAGACATACCAAATGGACTACAACATGGCAAGAGTTAAAATATATTTATGCCCATTAAGACTGTTTTCAGAAATATACTCTAGGGAAATAATACAACAGAAGCAAAAAGTTACCTGAAGGCATTGTCTGCAGCCTTATCTACAGTGGAAAAGACATTGTCAAATGTTTCAAAGTCAAACGCATATGGGAATCCAGAGGTGATAATGTAAGTGAGTGTGGCAGTCTTGACGAATGACAATAGGGAGTGGTGGGGACTGTAGCAAAGTGGAAAGCATATATGCTCTCTAAAGCTGGGCCACAGCTACTAGTTTGCCAAGCTTGAGTGTTAGAAATCTGAATTTTAGGGGCCAGCCCCATGGCTGAGTGGTTAAGTTCACACACTCTGCTTTGGTGGCCCAGGGTTCGTTGGTTTGGATCCTGGGCGCAGACCTGGCACTTCTCATCAAGCCATGCTGTGATGGCGTCCCACATGGAAGAACTAGAATGACTACAACTAGGACATACAACTATGTACTGGGGCTTTGGGGAGAGAAAAAAAAGGGGGGGGGAAGATTGGCAATAGATGCTAGCTCAGGGCCAATCTTCCTCACCAAAAATATATATATATTAAAAAAAGAAGAAGAAATGTGAATTTTAGGGTTATCCATGATTTCCTTTGGCAACTAATTCAAATTTAAAAAAAAGACAACAGCTACCACAAAGCACTGTGCCACCATGTGTATTGTAAACAAAACATGTCCACAGCCGTAGTTGAGTCTGCAGGCGCCCGATTCCGGCCTCAATGCCCCATGTAAGTGACTAAGTTAGTAGATTATAGAGCTTAACACATCATTTTAGTAATCATTAAAATAGTAACTAAAAGATTATAGAAACTTGGAAAATAGGATAATCTTAAAGAATTAGAATATAGGATGATTGACACTATGTAAAGACAGGTGACTATGTGGACAAGAACTGATACGTAATATTACTAAATTGAAAATAATTGTGTTAGGGCAACAGAATTTTTGTCTTTTCTTAAAATACTCTTTTACATATACATATATATATATGTAGATAGTGTGTGTGTGTGAGGCTCTCCTGAAGCCAGCCCTGCGAGGTGGGGGAGCAGGCCCCTGGGGACGTCTTGGAGCGAGGCGGGTGGACTTCAGACCGCTTCTCTTCTCTCTCTGGACGAGGCCATCTGCCAAGCTGTGTCATCCTCTGGTGACTCAGGGCTACTTCGGACAGTCATCAGTGACGATTTTAGAGTATGGCCTAATTAAGTTACTACTAAAGGCTTAAGCTTAAAAGAAAATTAGCCCCTTTCCTTCAGCAGACCGTCAATGACAACATCACCTTGTCCCAGAAATGTACTGAGCACGTCTTTCACTCCTAACAGTCCTTGTGTCAGGCAATACAGCTTCACGCTTCTGTCAGGACACATGTGAACAATGACCACCTGTCGTGAGAGGTGGGATCCCTTATTTAGTTGCAAATTACCTTTTTAAGCCAGAGGAGGTTTTTTGTGTCGTGAAGAGGCAAACAGTTCACATGACACGCTGGGGTGACTTGTGCCCGGGGCGCGCCCAGATCCAGTGGACACGTGTGAAAGTCTGCAGTCTCTTTTCAGTCTTTGTTTTGAAATTGATCCATGTTCAGCCCCTGCTGCCCTCTTTGCCCTTTTGTAATGCGGGCATCGCTTTTGAACGTAGTGTTTATATTGACTGTCTCCAGCTGTGAGGGCTCCGTGAGGAGAAATCGATAGGAAGTGACTTTGCCAAGTGTTTACAGCCTGTTTCATACTTTCTTCATGATGACTAACACACGACTCAGGACGACCCCTCGGGAATGTGTGCGCCCTCAAATACTGCCGTGCTTAGGCCGTGTATAAGCATTAGACCTTGGTCTGAGGTCTCACACCAGCACAGCTCACGTTCGGCTGACGCTGAGACTGTTTCAGATGTCATCGGGGTCCACTCTTATTTCTGTTAATGTAATACTCAAAGTTGTGGTCTCTGAGACGTAGATTTAATTTATATTAATTAAGAATTTAATTTAGCATAATCTGTTTTAGTTACAGGTTTAATTTCTATTAATTTATATCTCAGACAACCATTTCAAGTAAATGATTACCGAATGCCTCCCCTGGCAGTCGCACTACAGCATTAACCTGTGGGAATCACAGGCCCCTCGGAGAATTGGGGGGGCTTCGCAGGAGCGGTGAACAGGGAACAGGTGAGGCAAAGCCTGAACCAAGGCCCAGAGGACACTCCCAGCGAGTTCGCAAGAGGCTGGACACAGCGAGCCGACACTGGAGAGAGGAGCGGCACTAGATCACATCACCAAGTTAAGGAATTTTGATTTTTGTCCTTTAATAGCAAGGAGGAGACAATGAAGGTTTTTTTTTAAGATTTTATTTTTTTCCTTTTTCTCCCCGAAGCCCCCGGTACATAGTTGTATATTCTTCGTTGTGGGTCCTTCTAGTTGTGGCATGTGGGACGCTGCCTCAGCGTGGTTTGATGAGCAGTGCCATGTCTGCGCCCAGGATTCGAACCAACGAAACACTGGGCCGCCTGCAGCGGAGCTCATGAATTTAACCACTTGGCCACAGGGCCGGCCCCGACAATGAAGGGTTTTAAACAGAGAGTCATGTCATTCACATCCAATGCATCAGGTGGTGATAGGTGCCACAAAAAACTAAGTAGGCCTAGGAGGGTGATGGGATGGAGGGGCCATTTTATGTTGGAGGTCAGCATAGAAGGAAATGAGGAGAGTGTCATGTGGCTACCTAAGAAAAAGAGCATTCCAGCCAGAGGGAATAGCAAGTGCAAAGGCCCTGGGGTTGGCCTGGGCTATGCCTGTTTGAGCAACACCTGGGAGGTCGGCATGGCTCAAGCAGAGTGGTCAAAGGGGAGAACAGTGGAAGTTGAGGACAGAAGGATGGCAGAGGAAGAGATCTAGGCTCTCAGCGGCTATTTTCAGACTTGCAGTTTTAAAGTGAGTAGGATAGGAAGCCCATTTGGAGCAAAGGCATGGCATAACGTGAATGATGTTCTAAAAGGCTCTCTCTGGCCCCTGTGTGGGGAGGAGACTGCAAGGGGAACACCACGAAAGCGGAGAGACCACCCTCCAGAGACTGGAACGAAGGGTGATGAGAACGGGCAGATTTTGCTCTATTCTGGAGTGAGAGCAACAGGGTTT